ACTCATTTATCTTATTTGGATGATATTTCACTATGATACAAAAATATAACGTTTATCTTAATCATTCTCAAAGATTTTTTTGATTGAGATAATATTAAAAAATATATCATCAATTTCTTGTATAGGAAAAGAAACAAGATATAACTTATCAACAATTCTGAGGAATGAGTAATATTAGTAGAAATAAAAGAAATAATAAGAGCAAAAATAAAAAAATAAAAGAAAATATTCAGATAATAAAGATAGTACCAACAAGAATCATGGAATAATAACAGAGAAGGAAATTAAAGTGAAAATAATAAATTAAGGAATAAAATGAACTTTATAATTAAGAACACCATGGATGTCAATTGGATATTGCATCAACAACAACAGAATATAGACTGTAGAATTATTAGAGAACGATTCAGTGATGAGGTTAGTCTCTCTTTGAGTAAGGAACAGTAGAAACTAATTCTATTAACAGTTAATTAAGTTATTTTTTATTTTTATTGGTCTATTTGTTATTTTTTTTTGTTTATTTCCTTGATAACAGAATTGTGTATTTATGAAGTGAGGAAAAGAGATTTGTTTAATTTGAAATAAAGACAAATAAAAAATAAGAACTAAAATTATAGTTATTTCATTTCAATAACAATAAACTGATTTGGTGTAAAGTATTTATTAGAACAAAGGGCATTATTAATTTTATTGTAGTTAAATGACCATTGCTTACAATATGAATATGTTTTATAATCTTCTTTGCAAACAGTGATATCATTTCCAAATCCATAACCATAACCGAATGAAAATAAACTGTCATCCAATTGGTCATCTAAACAAAACGCATGTTTAGGATTTTTAATATCAAATTTCATCATTCCATTTAATCTTCCATTTGATTCTAATGAAAATAAAAACGCATTTGGATCATTAACATAATCACCAACTTTATCAATTTTAGAATCAATAAATCCTCCAAATTTATTTCCTTCTATGTCTGTTATAATAATAATTAAATGTTCTTTATTTATAAGCTTTTCTTCAAATACTGATACGTCATGTCTCCAACTGTTTGTTGTTGAATTAAATATGATATTTCCTACTTTTCTTCCAGTCCATTTTTCTAGTTGTTTTTTCTCATTGAGTGAATAAAATTTGTTATGAATTCTTTTCTTTTCCCAATTATCCTTTTTATCTTCTAATTCACCTTCAAGTTGATGAATTTTATCTGGATTATTTATGACTAATTCTTTAGTTATTCTTTCTTCAGATTCTAAGGCTTTAAATATTAAAAAGTCTATTTGATTAGCAAGTGTTTCTTGATCACTTGAACTGACATCATTAATTTTTTGATATATAACTTTCATTTTATCCAATAAATTGACTCCTTCTTTTGATTTATTTCCAACTACTTTATTTCTTCTAACAATTTCTCTCTTCCTTTCAAAAATACTTTTTATTCTTTCAATTCTTTCATTGTCAGTTTCTTTTAGTACATTTGGTAGAAGCTCCATTTTTACATCTTTTTCCCAACACTCTCTATAATTTTTTATTTCTTTCAACATTTCAGTTAGTTGTTTCTCAAGTGGTCCAATAGTTTTTTCAAATTCTTGAATTAACTCTTCTCTTTTGCTTTGGGTGGTGCTCATTCCTCTTTCAAAAACAGAACTTATTTATAGTTCTTAACAGTTCCGTAAAAAATTCAATTATTTTTCTCAAATGTTTATTTATTTTTGTCGTCTCATATTTTATTTTGAGAATTAGTTTTTCAAAGATTTTCTTTTCTAATGCTTTGTAATATAAATTTCGAAGAATATTAAAAGAAGATAATTATAAACTACAACTAAAAAGAATTTTACTTTTTGTTTTATTTAATATTCTTTTATGTATTATTTGTTTTGGTTAATAGTTATACTAATTATTTTTTAACTGACTTTTCTTTTTTAATAATGTTTTATTTTTTCCTTTTTACTGATAAATGAGAAATTTAAATCAAAAACTGTGTTTGTCAAAAAGAAAAAAAATGACCTTTTAAATAATATAACAACTTGTGTTCTGGATAAGTAGTCTGTACATTGTACTTTGTTGATATGAATAACGATTAGTTATTATATTCTAAAACAAATACAAAAAGAAGTTCTAAAAAAAAGATCAATTAGAAGATATAGTATCTCAAGTACTGTCAATACTATAACAAAAAATCATAAAGAATAGTAATAGCTATTTCTTATCATATAACTAGTTTTATAATATTAATTAGATAATTAAATAAAATTTATATTTTATGTAAAAAGGTATTTAAAGGATTTAATAAAATAATCGAATATTCAAAGAACACTCCTTAAACAACTTAACCAATTTAAAGACTAGTACTTTTTCTTTTTTTAAACCTTAAAAAGAAATTGTTTTTTTTTAAAAACACTCAAACAAAAATTAAAAACAATGATTCTATTAGAAATATACAAAATAAAGAAGAATGAATTATTGATGTTTGCATTCTTGATCAGTTGCTTTTCTTTTGGGTTGACAATCTTGTGAACTATCTTTTGTTCTTTTCCGTGGTTCATCTTCCTCTTCATCTTCTTCATCATAATAACTATCTTCGTCCATTGATATATTATCGTTAGCATCTGAATCATGCAATCTTTCTTTGAATGTTAATAAAGAAGATCCCATAAAACTTTTGATGTCGTAAATACGATTAAACCAAAGCATATATTCTTTAATATCATCTTTGAGGAAGAAAGGAAGGAAAAAAGTAAAATCGTTTACATCCATTTTCTCATAAGGATTAGCTCCTTTCCAAACAAATGGTTGTAGAATTTTAACTTCAGCATTATCATGAGAGTTAGAGCCGATTTTACTGTTAAAAGTTAATTGAACAGAAACACTTTGTGGTTTCATGTATTGGTTTTCATCAAAGTCAAATTGTATTGTTCTTTGGTGATGAATACTTCCTTTTTCAGTGTCAGCTTTCAAACTATTATTTAATTGAATATCTTTTAAAGTTCTTAAAATTTCTTTATCACATTTCATATCTGATTCATCAGAAAGATTTTCAATAATAAAAATTCTATGCCAAAAAGCAGGAATCCCTTTAAAGTGTTTTGATGGATTTGGAGGTACTTTAATTGATGAGCAATCTACTGTTTTATCAGCTTGAGTAGTCCCATTAATAAGAGACACAATCCTATCAGTGATTGGTTTCTCAAGAGCTAGTAATTTTTGAGTTTGTTGAAAACGAGTTTCTACTGTTTTCATTTCTTCCATATCCATTTTTTGTTGTATTTGTTTCAACGCAAAAATGTTTTTTTGGACTTTACTTGAAACTCGTTTTAAATAATTTTTATACCCGACTGGAATAACTTCAGACATTATCGTGTATTTAATGATTAAAGAGAAGTGAAAGGGCAAATCATCAATGTTTAGTTTATTTTATTATTCTTTTTTACTATATTAAAAAACTATAATTTTATTACAAAACAAAACTATGCAATCCTTCAATTTAAGAAAAATTGTTTTGAATAACATTTTTTATTAATTTTTTTTTAGAAAACCAAAAGAAATAGAAAAAGATAGATTCTTTATTTAAGAGAGTGTTCTATACAACGCATATAAAAAACAAGAATATGTTTCATCAAAATCCTTCGTATTTCTTAAGAGAAGAAAGTAGCTAAGTTTAATAATGTCTGTAGTTTTAAGACAAGTATAAACAAAAAGAAGAGATTTAAAAATTTATTAAATCCAAGGGAGAATGAAAAATAGAAGAATAGTCATTGATTAACTGAAATTAAAGAGTTGAGTTAAAAAAAATATAAAGTAAAAATAAAAAACTATATTATGCAATTATATTACTGAAGAGTAGGGAGATTGTCAAATATCCTAACAGCATCAACACAACTATCTGACTGACCAAATTCATTTTCGATTCTTATTGTAACTAATCCAACAGTTAAAGGTGGTAATATAATAATAATTTTAGTAGGAGATTTTAAAAGAACTTTTTTATCATCTATTTTCTTATTTCTAACAAACACAATTGGTTGATTACCAAAGTTCTTTCCTTTTATTATTAATTGTCCTCCTTTAGTAGAAAAAGCACTTGGAGATAAACTTAATATTTCCATTTTAATATCCATTGAGTCAATATCTAATATTTCAAAATCGTCTAAGTCATCAATGGTGTTCCATCCATTATTATTTGTATTAATACTAAATTCCTGTATTGAATTTTGGTTATCTTGAATTTTTGGAAAACTATTTTCTTTTTTTTGTGTTTCAATTTGTTGATCAGATTTTTTAACAAAAAGAATTTCTTCATCTCCATTGTCCTCCTCACTACTTTCTTCATCTTCAGTACTTTCCTCTTTTTTTTCATTAACAGTATTTTCATCATTTGATTCACTTGAACAATCTTCAAATACAAATAATTTCTTTTTTTCATCTTGTTGTTTAAATTTATTGTCTTTTATCTCTTTTTTATTTTTATCTTCCAAAGATTCAATCATTTTATCATTTAAATGATTTGATAGATTAACTTTTGATTTGATAGAAGGAAGAGAAAGTTCATCTTGATTATCATCATTTTGTTTAAATTTTTGGAAGAAATTTGTTTTAATCCAGTTAAAATTCTCTTTATTATCAAGAGATTTTAATTGAGTTTGAATATTTAGTTTATTATTAATATCAATAGTAGATAGATTAGATGAAGAATTAATATTATTTGAATGCAAAGAAGAACGTTTAATTTTATCATAAAAAATAGTATTAAAGAGTTGAACATTTCCATATTTTGTAATAAATTGAATATTAATGTCAAGTTTTGAATTAGTTTGTTTAGGAATTTGAAGATAAATAAAATTTTTATTAAAAGTAGGAATTGATTCAATTC